ATTTAAATTTTAAAAATATTTACCTGTAAGTTTTTATATGTCGAATTCCTCTAATCATGACGCATTTGTGCCGTTCGCATCTGTCGTTATCCGTCCAAACGTCTTTTAATTCGTGTTTATTTCCGTTTTTATCGATGCAAACGCCTTAAAAATAAAATTAATTAATTAATAAAAACTTCGGATTTAATTCCGCTTTAAGAATTTTCTTTCAAATATTTTAAAAATTTAAGAAAACCATACTTATAATTGTTCGTTCGTGTAAAATCCGCCATGATGTTAATGCGCGCGGCAAGACGCGACGCGACATAAAAATAATACATGTCTCTTAAACAAAATTCATTTTATCTTTTAAAAGTGTAAAATATAATATATTATAGCTAATATACAGTATATATACTATAAATAAATTGTATAAAATGTTTTCTCTTTTAAAAAAGAGACATTTAATATCTCTACTTTCATTTCGCGTCGCGTCGCTTCTCCATGATGCGGAAGTGTATTATCACTTTATAGCATTGAACATTAAATTTTTTAAGCTTTCCATATATGTATAGATGCCTTATATTCTTACATAACACGGTTGTTTTCAATATATAAATTATAATATATGGATACGATTTGTTTTAATTTTTTCATTAGCGACGCTACGACGCGTCGCGTCGCTTATCTCTTTTTCTCCAAACAACCATATAAAAAATAATAATAAACATGAAAATAGTTTATATAAATGATAAATGCTTAGTAAGACAGAAATTCGCGTGGGGCCTCGCGCTTGTAAGCTAAACACTCTGCAGCTTAGGACTCACGTTATAAGTCTACAGCTTAAGGACTCATATCATTGTTTAGTGAAGGGAAAGAGGGCCATAAGTACGGGCCTCACCTATACATAAGAGTATTCTCAACTGAAAACTTAGGGCCTCGCGTTATACGTCTTCAGTATAGGGCCCCATATTATTATTTAGTGAAGGGAAATAGCTTGGTTATACGCTACAGCTTAGAGCCACAAGTACAAGCCCATCCTGTACAGCCCTCGCATATACACAAGAGTATTAGCAACTCAATTCTATCCAAACAATTTTAAATTTTAACCCAAAGAACCCACAAAAAAATCTATAAAACAGTACCAAATATATGAAATTAAGCATTACTTACCGGGTCCAACCTCTTGGGGTGTGAGGAGTATAGCAGCATACAAGAACTGCACGAGTAGACAAACACATATTCCACAGGTGTATAACTTAGTTACGATTGCCATGGCTCTTGTTATGCTCCAAACTTCACAAACCACAACTTATATAGTACCTTTTATAAACGTATATTTCAACATAATTCAAAGAATCGTAAATTATAAATACCAGACACGTAGTAGTATGAGAATATATTCCAAACCACGCAACCTAATTTAGACTTTCCTCTTAAAAATGAGAGGAAGGATGATGTCATTTCCTCACACCTTACTTAATATTGTTTAGAATGCGTGGTTACGCAGTGACGTGTGTATAAAATGCGCGTGCTTGTGTATGTGGAAATCTGTAAATAACACTAAAGATAATGGCTTTATCCCTGACCTTTAATTACATAATATCCACTGTTATCGTCTCTAATTAATCATCCTTAATTTCTTTTCTTTTTATCTAATTTTAATTAAATTTGTATATAAATTTAAGCCTTAAATGCGTTAATTTATTGCCTAAACTTGAAGTTTTCTACGAATTTAATGAAATAAAATGAATTTATTTGCAAATTAAATTAATTTAATATTTGTAAAATGTATTTTATTGACAATTCTATGAAGTAATTTATTTAAATTTAATCATATTTTTTTATTTTAAATATTTAAATAAGGGATAAAAACCACAGTTTTCCACAATGTTGGCTTCTCCGCAAGTCACGTGTCATGCAGGGAAGCCAACTTTTAATCTGATTATTATTATTATTAATAACTATAAGAATGAAAAATGAAAGCTTAATTTAACAAAATCTATAAGAAAAATGTAAATAGAATAATAAAAAATTAAAGTTTAATTTATTAAAGAATATTAAAGTAAAAATAAAATAGAATATAAACTATTTTTTTTTTGTATCATCCTCTTCAAAGATGTAGAAAATTAAATGAAAAAGTTGTTTAATTAACATAAAAATGTTTTAATAATAAATTTAGTAATATTTTAATTCTAATACTTTTAACTCATTTAGGAAAATTGTATTTATCGTTATCAAGAAATCTGTAATGTGATTATCGTATTAACTGATATAGGGATTCGTAATGCGTTAGTCATCATTTCAGTACGCAAAATCGATTTTATTTCATAATCCATCCTCTATTTTTTATTATTTTTTTTAGAAAAAAGTAGCTATAAATAGAATAAACAATTATATATATACGTATATAACAAAATATATGATATTGATCCGCTTTACGATTGGTTCACAAATCCTCGCTTTACGACCGCATGTTTTTTTTTTTACAAATCCTCGCTTTTCGACTGTTCTGTTTACAATCCCCGGTTTACAACCACACCTTTTGCCATCCCTCGCTTTACGACTGCCTTTTTTCACCAATTTTTCCCGGTTTACAACCACGCCTTTTACCATCCCTCGCTTTACGACAGCCCTTTTTCACCAATTCTTCCCAGTTTACAAGCACAAATTTTGCCATCCCTCGCTTTACGATGGTCTTTTTTCCCAATCCCCGGTTTACAAGCACACTTTTTGCCATCCCTCTCTTTATGACTCTTTTTTCACCAATTCTTCCTGGTTTACAGCCACACCTTTTGCATCCCTCGCTTTACGACGGCCTTTTTCCCCGAAATACCCGGTTTACAGCCACACCTTTTGCATCCCTCGCTTTACGACGGCCTTTTTCCCCGAAATACCCGGTTTACAACCACACCTTTTACCATCCCTCGCTTTACGACTGCCCTTTTTCACCAATTCTTCCCAGTTTACAAGCACAAATTTTGCCATCCCTCGCTTTACGATGGTCTTTTTTCCCAATCCCCGGTTTACAAGCACACTTTTTGCCATCCCTCTCTTTATGACTCTTTTTTCACCAATTCTTCCTGGTTTACAGCCACACCTTTTGCATCCCTCGCTTTACGACGGCCTTTTTCCCCGAAATACCCGGTTTACAACCACACCTTTTGCCATCTCTCGCTTTACGACAGTTTAAGATATTCGAAAACGTTTGTGTTTAAATAAAGTATTCTCAGCGATAGAAGGTGTTAAATGCTTTATTAAGTGTTTTAAAAGAAGCTAAGTGTGATATTTAATTAATAATTTTTAGTCGAAAAAATTTCTATTATATTATTATTGTAAAAATACAGAAATTATATCAGCATCCTGAAATCTGTGATTAAAAATACAGTGAATTTCTATGTTAAAATAATTAAGTTAGTTAAATTATTTGTTAAATTTAAACACGGTTTGCGAGTGGATTAAGTAGAAATAATTAAAAACTTCTTGATAAATATTTAACTTTTATGTTCTTAGAATGTTACAGATGTAATTTAGTGTTGTTAAATAGTGACGTGAGCAAATTTGATATAATTCCTGGCTAAACAAATAAGGATATTGTCAATTTTTATAAATTAATATAACATTTATTAGCTAAATAAATCCCCCGGATAGGCTATATAACATATAAATTTTCTCGAAAGTAGAGAAGTTTATAATTTATCGATTTTAATTTTATAATTAAAGTCAGTTGGGTCAATGGGTATGTAATTTATGTGATTAAAGACATAATTTATTTTCTAGTATGTTCTGTAGTGATCCTGTTTACTTTCTCTTTAATGGCTTTCTTCTTTTCTAGTTTCTTCTATTAAATAAATAAAGTTGGCAGGAGCTCTTGCATGCTTTACCCGCCATTCGGACTAGAGATTATGCCTTATTTTTTAGGGGTGGGATGAGTTTTTATAAAATAATACAAATGCCAGTAGTATTTGTTTTTAATAAGATAAAAACCCTAGTAAAATTTCATAAAATCTGATCCCGCTTAAGATATGACCTAATGTATATCCCCTCTATCTTCCCTCTATCTCGACTTACAATCTCTAAATTATATTGTCATTAATGTCTCATAGATAGAAGTATTCCTGCCAAATTTCAAAAATTTTGGTCCACGGGGTCCTGAATTATAAAGCAAAATGCAGGTCAACATGCAAGCATACGTGAAGAAGTCCGTTCCCTATTTTTTGCTGTTTTTGGAAGCGGGGGGCCTTAAACAACGAAAAATTCAAAAAGTCCTAGGACCTCGGATATATAAAGACACTATTTTATGTGTAGATTCGGATCCGCACATAAGCTAAAAACAATCTGCAGCTTAGCCCTCTAGTTATATATCGATAGTTTATGACCTCATATTCTTACATATTTCATTATTTGGCAAAGGAGAAACGCCTGCTATACGTTATAGCTTAGGGTGACAACAAGACCTCACATTATATACGTAAGAACATTCGAAACTCCTGTTTAACATTATAATAACATAGTATGTGGAGGCCCTTTTTAATGTAAAACTTCATCTCTCATAGATTATATGTTTTTATGTTAAAAAAAGCCTTATATATAAAGGGTATGCGTGCTGGAGATCTCGCAATTCTCCATTATCCCAAGAGAAAGAAAAATTCTTAACTCCTAATTGGTTGAAAGAAATTGAAATAAACCGATATTTGCATATCTCCGCCTATTTATATTTTTCTAACCAATCCTCTTCCAGATTTCTATCAGTTTCGTTAGACTTTATCGTTTACATTACACAAAGGCCCACCTATGTTCGTAAATGTAATTAAACACGTAATTTTGTGTAATATATGAATATAAAACAAAATTAAGACTAAAAAAAAGATATTATCTGTTTATTTTTTTTATTAAAATTAAAATTAGTCGAACATTTCAACGATTAAATTATACATTTTTTTTAAAAAAAACTAGATTCAAGAAGAACGTGGCTAGTTTTTTTTCATTGTAATTATAATATATTAGATGCTAATTATGTAGAATAAATGATTAACTAGTGGGTTTAATGATTAGGAGCACCTAAATTAAGGTATGAAGTTATAGTTGAAAGGTCAATAATCTGTAAAGTTTTGTTTTAAACTTGTTTAAGAGCTTGTTAATGAAAGGTTATTATTTTATTATGAGTTTTTTTTAGTCGTCGAGTGTTTGCTTATGCGATTGTCTTCATCGTCATTCTTCAAACTGATATAATCATTTCTATTTTTTATCACTGATATACCTTTTCGATGCTCCTTAATTCGTTATAACCTCCGAAGGTAGGGCATAAATCCTGTTTAAGTTTTTCTAAAGCATATAATTACCTTAACCGGATTTCCTTTAGATACTAGGTGTCTTTACAAATAAAAAAAATAATCAAACAAATCGACACCAGGAAGAAGATAATAAATATTTTTTGATAAAATAAATTAATGTAAAAGTGATTTAAATATTTTAATGTGGATCAGTTTACTAATTTGCTTCACTTATAAGCTATAAGTTAATTAAGTTAATAAGCAAGATCATCAATAAAATGTAGCATTTTTCAGATTCTAGAGTAATTAATCTAGAATCATTGAATTTGAATATGGTAAAGAATACTTTTACTATACACGTGTCCAAAGCTTAAGGATGAACGAAATTGTTCTGAGGGAAATGTACACCAAACTGCCCTTGCTCTGAGAAAGGTGTGCACCAATCTACCTTTGTTCTGCAGGAGAAATGGGCCAATCTACCATCCTTGCTCTAAAGGTAGAGTGGATCAAATTTCCCTCACTCTACAGGAGGAACAGACAAACTGCATTTGCTCTGAGGGAGTATGCACCAATCTAACCTTGCTCTGAATGAGGGTGTACTAATCTTCCCTTGCTCTGAAGGAAGAATAGACCAATCTGTCCCAATAACACCTGAATCACTTGGTGACTAGGCTGCCACGACATTGTGAATACTGCATCACAGTTCGAAATAGATATATTCCATACTGACAGGTGTCTCTGCCTGTGTATTATAAACAGTTTCCATTCTTCTTCACGTATATCAACTGCTTTTTCATCAAAGATCTACTTTGATTTATTGTGTATTACTGTATTAGACGTCCAGTAATACAGTACTTTCCATATTGCATTTTACAGTTTTCTCTATTTAGGCCTATGTACAGTACCTGTACACGTCCCGCCTTAAGTTTCGAACACGTGTTTACTTAAAGAATTACTTAGAATATATACTTGAAATATTATCTCGAATGAGTTTTTTAAATTCGTTTTTCGGAGGTGGTCGTTGTTTAGAGGTTATTTTTGTTCAAAAATAGTGACCGCCGTTTACAGGTGACCTTTATTGATCGACTGTATTTTAAATATTATTACTTAAATTATTATGTATTCAATTTTTTAGTAAATTTAATAATTTTCGTCGCATNCTATAATATATATATATATATATATACAGTATATATACTAACGTAGTTAACTGCAGCTCGTGC